GGGAGTGGGGTCCAGTCCCCAGATCCAAGCCTCCAGTTCTCAGGCAGGCCCCAAGGTGCTGGTGGTGTGCCTGGGCCGGAAATAATTTTTTGTCCTTTGCTTCTTTTTTTTTTTTTTCTTTTTCGTGGCCGGCAAGGGGATCACAACCCTTGGTGTGGTGTCACCCGCACCGCGCTCAGCCAGTGAGCGCACTGGCCATTCCTATACAGGATCCGAACCCGTTGCGGGAGCGTCGCTGCGCTCCCAGCGCCGCACTCTCCCGAGTGCGCCACAGGGCCGGCCCTGTCCTTTGCTTCTAACACGGGGAAACTTCCTATGGGAACCAGTACTTGTGCTGTGTGGTTGTTTAAATTGCTACTTTGCTGCTGTTTCCCTAAGGAAGGCTTTTTATGCAGCTCAGTGTTTAATGGTTGACCTTATTGGTACTTCCGGCTCTCCAGATACCTGGTGGATCTGTGTTCTGTAAAATCTCTGATCTGGGCCTGAGTATTTTCATCAAACTGCACCCCATGCAATTCTGCATTCCTGATCAGTCTCCTCTGAGTGGTCCTGTGCTGACTGGGGGGCAGATCAGCGGTCCTTGCTGTGTCTCAGTGTTCCCCTGGTGGGCACGTCTCCCCCACCGCCCGTGCTGCAAACACTTCCCATGGGATGGGCCCTGCACTGGTCCCTTGCGATGACTCACCGGCTTCTGAATGGTCCCCTTTTTTCAGTTGTTCTGGCTCCTCGGTCCTGCGTAGGTCCACGTGAACCCTATTAGTGGTCTTGCTGTCCTGGGGGCTGCCAATGCCCTCTTCTCTTCTGCTTCCTCCAAGTAACTCCATCTGAAGGGCACAGCTGTGGCTTCTGCCAGCTCCTGCTCCATGTGCTTATCAGCTCCAGCCTTAAAGCAGCCTCAGCCCGAAATGCTCAGAGCAGCTTTTATTTTCTCTCATTGTAGTTTCTCCCACCTTCATGAACTCTGTAGGTCTCTCTTTCTCTTCCCCGGAGCTCCAGTGGCCCCGGCTTGGTTGATGTTACATTTTTATAGTTGTAAATTTGGTTGATTTGTGGGAGAGAGTGATGCTGCGGACCGTCTATTCCGCCATCTTGATTCCCTTTGCTTACTTCTAAAATGGGGGAACCTCCTGTGGGGACCAGCACTTGAGCCCTGTGGTTGAACTAAATTGCTGCTTTGCTTCTGATTCCCTGGGGAGGGTTTTTTGTGCAGCTCAGGTTTTAATGGTTGATTTTGTAGATACTTCTAGGTCTTGTGAGATCTGGTACGACTGGGTTGTGTAGAAACTCTGGTCCGGACCTGAGTTTTTCAATAAACTGCACCTCTTGCAGTTCTGTATTCCTGGCCAGTCTACATAGAGTGGTCCTGTGCTGATTGGAGGGCATATCAGCTGTACTTGCTGTGTCCCAGGGTTCCCCAGTGGGCCTGTCTCCTCCACAACCCATACTCCAAACACTCCTCATGGGAGGGCCATGCGCCGATCCCTTGTGATGACTCACTGGCCTCTGGGCAGCCCCTTTTTCCAGTTCTTGTGGCTCCTCACTCCTATGTGGGTCCACGAGAATGCTGTTAGTGATCTTGCTGGCCTGAGGGCCACCAAGTTCCTGTTCTCCCCTGCTGCCTCCAAGCAATTTCATTGAAAGGGCACAGCAGTGGCTTTTGCCAGCTCCTGCTCTGTGTGCTCACCAGCTCAAGCCTTGAAATGGCCAGGATTCGAAATGGTAGGAGTGATCCTTTCTTTCTCTCATCGTGGCTTCTCCTGCCTTCATGCACTCCTGAGGTTTCTCCTCTTCTTCCCCTGAGCTCTAGCAGCCCCAGCTTGGCTGTTGTTGCTTTTTTATAGTTGTAAATTGATTGATTTGTGGTAGAGAGTGGTGCTGGGGACTGTCTATGCTGCTGTCTTGACCACGCAAGCTCAGTACTTAGCAATGATTTCCAAATGAATTATATTTAAATAATCACAAATCAAATTATATCAGAAGTTTATGGGAACATACTCAGGTTGTAGTTTTCAAGACAGGTAAATAAAAGATTTGTTTTCCCAGTGAGTCTTGGTATCTTGGCTTTGAAGTTTCAAAGACAACTACCTTTGAAACTATATTTTTTCTAATATTTCACAAACTAAGTAGTTTTAATCTCATTTTGTAGTAGCTCTATATACATGAAGAACTAATCACAGTATTTTATTTTATTTTATTTTATTTTTATTATTATTATTTTTTTAAAGATGACCGGTAAGGGGATCTTAACCCTTGACCTGGTGTTGTCAGCACCACGCTCACTCAGTGAGCTAACCGGCCATCCCTAATTGGGATCCGAACCCGTGGCCTTGGTGTTATCAGCACCACACTCACCCGAGTGAGCCACAGGCTGGCCATAATCACAGTATTTTAAATGAGATTTAACTTCTATGAGTATGTAAAAGCTGTTTGTGGACTTCTATGGAATTTGCTTTTCCGACATATGAAAGCAGAATCTTTTTTTTTTTTTTTTTTTTTTTTTTTTTTTTTTTTTTTTTTTTTTTTTTTTTTTAAAA